TATTCTTTCCCTTCACTAGACGGTCTTGGCATCCTTATGAAAAAATCAACTGAACTTTGGTGTGTAGGTTTTATTTCTGGACTATTCTAATCTACTGATCTTTAAGTCTATTCTTCTGCCAATGTCACCCTATCTTGATTTTTATAACCTTGTAGTAAACTTTGGAAATGCAAAGTATTTCTTCTTTATTATTTCTTTTCCAGATCATCTTATTCTGGGTCCCCTGCAATTCCATGTGAATTTTAGAATCAATTTTTAGTTTGCAGAAAATCAGCTGAGATTTGGGAACCAGCAGTTAGCGTAATGGCTATGTCGCTGGACTCCCACGTAGTCGACCGCGGTTCGCGTCTCGGACCCGGTGGCTTAAATCTCACGCCGGGCGCGTGTGCGTGCGTGCCCAAGATCCCGAGAGGAGAATGGAGGAGAAGGGATTGCGGCGTGACCATCCCCCCTGGGGGGTGATTTCTCGCTTTCTGTCTCTATGTCTCTCTCTGTCTGTCTGGCGAGCAAAAAAAAAAAAAAAAAAAAAAAAAAAATTAGAAAAAAAACCCCCCCAAAAAAAAAAAAAAAAAAAAGGAAAGAAAAAAAAAAAATCAGCTGAGATTCCAAAATTGTGTTATACTTTGCAGATCATTTTGGGAAGTATTGTCACAACTTAACAAGCTTGGGTGGTCTTCTTTAATTTCTTTCAATAATATTTTATGGTTTTCAGAGTATATTCAAATACTTTATACTTCTTTTATTAAGTTTCCTCCTAATTTTTTTCATGCTTTTATGAAATAGTTTTATGTTTTAGCTATCCAGATTTCTTGATAGTCCAAATGAATTGTAGAATGGACTTTTCTATTTCACAAAAAGAAATATCATTGAGATTTTAATGGGAATTTCACTAAATCTGTACACTGTTTTCAGTAGTATTGACATTTTAACAATATTAAGTCTTTCAACTATAAACAGGAATGTTTTTCCATTGGTTGGTATCTTTTCTTTCAGCAATGTTTTGAGGTTTTCAGTTGTAAATCTTTGACCTCTTTGGTTAAATTTATTCATAAAATATTTTATTCTTTTTGATGCTAGTGAATGTTTTGTTTCTAAAGTTCTAATTTGGATTACTTGTTGTTAAAAATAAAACAATTTTTTAGCGTTATTTTTCTGCTCTTTAGCTTTGCAGAATTCATTTACTAGTCCTAACAGTATGTGCAGATGTGTGCAAATGTACATAATCTTTCAAGTTTTCTACATATATAGTCACATCATCTGTGAATAGAGACAATTTTATTTCCTTTCTAATTTGGATGACTTTCATTTCTTTTATATTGCTCTGGCTGGGATTTCCATTCCTGTGTTGAAGAGAAATGAAAGCAAGCATCCTTCCCTTGTTCCTGATCTTAAAGGAAAGGTCTTTAGTCCTCCATCATTGAAAAATATTTAAGTATCTTTATATATGACATATATAAGTATACAGACATATATTGTATATATGAAATACATAGTATTTTTTTACTAAAATTATGTTGGTTTCTAGTTATTTACTATTAAAAATAAAGTTGGGGGGCTGACCCCATAGCTCTGTGGTTAAGGGAGCCAGAAACTACATGGCCAGGCACAGTTCAAATCCCAGATCTCGTGGCTTGAAAAATACTCAGGGCACGTGTGTGTGTATGCATGACTTTGCACAGAATCTTGATGGGAAGGAAGAACAGAAAAAAAGTATAGCAGCATGAAAATGCCCCTTTAGGGGACCAGCAGTTAGCGTAATGGCTATGTTGCTGGACTCCCACGTAGTCAACCATGGTTCGAGTCCTGGACCCAGCAGCTTAAACTCATGCCAGGTGTGTGTGTGTGCGTGCCCAAGATCCCGAGAGGAGAATGGAGGACAAGGGATTGCGGCGTGGCCATCTCCTCTGGGGGGTGATTTCTCGCTTTCTGTCTCTCTGTCTCTCTATGTCTGTCTGGCGAGTGAACGCGTCCTATAGCAAAAACCTCTCCAAAAAAAAAAAAAAAGCCCCTTTAAGGGATTTCTCTTTTTCTCCCACTCTTTGGTGAATACACAAACCCTCTGGCAATAAAAGAAAAAGAGAGTCATTATGAACATCAATGTACTAATCTTTGTTTAACATTCATCCTTGGGTGAATTCTTTTTCTTTTTTTGTGGAGAGGTTTTTGCTACAGAGTGTGTGCGCTCACCAGACAGAGACAGAGAGACAGAAAGTGAGAAATCACCCCCCAGGGGGGATGGCCACACCAGAATCCCCTCTCCTCCATTCTCCCCTTGGGATCTTGGGCATGCACGCACATGTGTCCAGTGTGAGTTTCAAGCCACCAGGTCTGGGACTCGAGCTGCGGTCAACTACATGGGAGTCCAGTGACATAGCCATTATGCTAACTGCTGGTCCCTTTGGGTGTATTCTTAGAAGTGGAAAAACTGAATGATATGGTAGGTCTATGTTTAACATTTTGTAATTGGCAAATTGTTTTTATTTTCTATGTCTGCCAACAGTGTATGAGAGTTTAGTTTCTAAACATACTTGTCAACGCTTGGTTTGCTCAGTCTTTTAATTTTACCCATTCTAATAGGTATGCAGTACTATTTCTTTGTTTTAATTCTTATATCCCTAAAATTAATGCTGTTCATCTTTTCATGGGATCATCGCCATCTATGTCTAGTGTAGTGAATTATTTGTTCAAATAGTTTTGCTTACATTTTTTTTTTGAGAGGTTTTTGCTATAGGGTTCGTGTGCTCGCCAGCCAGACAGAGAGAGACAGAGAGACAGAAAGCGAGAAATCACCCCCCAGGGGGATGGCCATGCCACCATCCCTT